CATATAACAAGCGGGTCAAATATGGGTCGAGTAACCTAACGGGTCAGATAACAGACACTAACTCGTCATAGGACTCTACCAAAAAAAACCTCGTCATAGGGTTCCAACCTCTCACACGTAACGGACAAACTTCTCCACGACTCCACCTATTTGAGTTGCAGGGGCTAATTGCTGCAGCGACCACCGGTCTCGATCTCGGTATGCATCTTTATTGCCTGTCCTTCTCCCTCTTCTTCTTATCAATCTTCTTCTTCTTCAAAATATAGAAAACTCCGCCATTACCAAGCCTTCTTGAACTTATCAGGCATTGCCAGCTGTAGGAACAGTGAAATTGAACTCATCGCTGGTTGGGGAACCATCTGTAAGACGACTACAGTTTCCATCTTCGTAAGTATATCCTCTCTTCCTTCCACACTTTACTGGTATGCTCGTTTTCTATCATTCGATTAGCAGGCTCTATTGGTCCTTATTATGGTGTGCTTGATTTTCTCTTTTTTCAAGTTTCCAATCTTGTGTTAATCTAACATCATCGGGCCCTCTTAATCTAATATTCGACCAACGTCTATGCGGACTACTTTGTTGAATTAGGAAAATTCATTGCTTTTTTTTTTTTGTGTGTGTGTGTGTGCGTGTACCAACTAGTTGACTCAGCTTAGGAGGGCCAAAACAATTGATCACTACCTTCTTCTTGTTTCTCGTCTCCTACGCCAATTCCCAATAACCTCTGACAACATTTCGTCTTCTAATTCTCTCTGTACCTCAAAACGTACATCTTTGCCTATCTCATTCCCACCCTTGGCTACCAAAACTTATCAAAAGCCCAAACTTTACAAAGAAATATAGCTTATTTCCCTATCATACCCTTGACTATCTAAACCATGTCTTATGATCATTTAATGAAAAGGAATTCACTCTGGTAATGATTCATTTAGATCAGCATATTGAAACTAAAATGAGATTTGGAAGGATGCATAAAAAATCCTCATTTTATATGAATTTAGAGGCCATCATTGGTTTTGTCACTTGTGGAAGGACTTGGTTATAACAATCACCTACCATTACTGGTAACTGAACCCTATTTCTAGTTGAATGAATTGGATAAGTTATTGATGGAATTGCATTATTTGGACAGAAAAAGTACAGCTAAAATTAGTCAAATACAACATTTGGAATCTTGGACAAAGACATGGCTGAAAGGGTTAATTAGGTTTATCCAAATTTCTGGTCAATTTATTTATGAAATGACACACATAGACAACTTAGTTCAGCATATTGGAAAGCAATGAAGTATGATTTATACTTAACTATAATTGTAGGAGTTGGTTTTACGAGATTATCAATTACTCAGAAACAGGGTCATGCCAAACGCCATTCTGATTCTTAGAAATGAGAATCAAGGTTCTGTACCAAACCCCTACATAGATTCTCAGACTCAAGAAAATCCAGAATCCGTTCTTTTATGGATGGATTCTGAGGATGAAATTCTAGAATTGATGCCAAATGGAGCCTTAAAGTCTTAAAGTTATAGTTTTAGATGTTTGACACTCTCTACTTGTCTTCATTCTTTTTTTTGTCTCTGATAGCCAGTAGTCACAGAGAGAGGAGCATAAACTACGGTTAGTGTGTCTGAGAAGTTCCATGGATAACAGTGATAAAGGCAATGTACCCATGCAACTTTCGCCAGAGGCTCTCTCTTTCTTGGCTGAGGGGATCTCCTTGGTTCTTTCCCGATGGACTGCACTTCAAGTGGCCATTGAGAATGAGTGGGGTGGCCGGGACTCCCACCAGAAATCTGAACAACTTGCTGCCAACATCTATTCTTGGTTCTCCCAATCAAAAGGTATAATTCAGGTTTCCTGGCTTAATATCAAGTAATTTTAGGAGTTTAAAGTCTTCACTTCAAGTTTATTGTTTTCGCAAATGCCAATCCATTCTATTGTCCCTTTTCATCAAGACAAGAAGGGAGGAACTTAAGGAAGGCATCATAAAGAGAAACAAAATCCAGCTGGTAAAAAAAGAGAAACAAAATCCAGATATATGAGAAGGCCATTACGATGATACTATGATGTTTCTAGTTATAGTGTGTCAGCTATAAGCTGTGTATCTTTGGTCCCCTCTACTCGAGTTACTTTGAGTGGAGAGTTTACAGTCTCCCAAATTAATAGAACTGTTTGATCATGATTACAAATAAAATGGGCTATTATAATGATAATCAAGAAATCCATTTTTAATATTTTATTCTTAAGTGACTTTTTATTTAGAATTAATTTTTGCTTCATTGTTTATTCATCTGCAGATATACTTACAATTTTGTATTTTCCAGAGCCACATTACATTGATGATTTAGAAAACATGCTCGATGAAAGCATGGTGCTTTCTTTCAATACTGAGATTGAGGATGGCAGCATTGAGGAGGTATGCTTTTCTTTATGTTATTTTGGAGGCTAGATTCACCATAAACTGTTCTTATGATCTGATCCTTCTTCTAAGATTCGTGTTTCTTTAATTTTGGGATGCATTTTGTTGTATGGTAAACGAACATGGTAATTATGCATCAAGAGGTTTCTAGGTAAAACAATTTATGTTTTCATTCATTTGTGTTCTCAGTGTTTTAAAAGGTGCGTATACAGTCGTATGTGTTTTACACATTTGTAATGGTCTATAAGCTTCTAAATTACCCTATGTTGGTTCTTGTGCACTATTAATGGTCCTTTAATTTTTAAAAGAAACAAGAAACTGTAGAAAGATTGGGCCAGATGAGCCTTAACTTGCTTCTTTTTATTGTTTTATCTTTAAGTTGTCTTTTCTTATATTGGGCCTTCAGTATATGGGCCATCTTCTATTTCTTTTTATATTGCTTACCAAGTCAGCCGCCCTATTGGGGGCATTCATGTAATTGCATCTTCAACCAGTATTCAACATTAATAAAACAAATGAATGGGGCTGAAGAGAGTTGTGATTGACTCAACTCTTCTTCTCCCATCTCTCTCTCTTCCTCTTCTTGCTCTGTTTTTCTCTTCTTTTTGCTGGTTTTTCTTTTAATAATCACAGCACCCTTGCTGTTCAGATCTTGGAAAAATTTTCACTGAAGGAGCAATAATAATATAACTGATGTTTGATTTCAACCTAAAACAGAATGAACTATGACCAAAATCATAAAACCTATCCTATATGGGCCAATAATTCAGATTGGTGGCATGGTCTTCGAACCCCTCATATGGGCTTGTTTGGGCTTGCCTCAAGAGGCCTTGATGAGGTATAGTGTAAGAGCCCCAACCTCCTGGGGTTGAGTTTGTAAGATGTCTAACATCATACTAGATTACTACTTACTAGCTATTTCAAATAATGCAACTAGGAAATAGACAAACATGTTGAGAGTTTCAGAGTTTCACATGCTTGAATTGTTGAGTATTGAAGCACTTTGGTATGATCCACATTTGTTTGTTTTGCTTTCGCTTTTCACTTTGAATTCATTTTATATGTCATGCCTATGTATTTTGAATTGAGCTAATAAGCTTTTTAAAATATATAATTTGTTTTTAAATTCAGGTTTCCATATTTTTTATGTTTGATGTTATTTATTTTTTTATTTTTTTCAAAAATTTGTGTCTTAATTCAGTCTCATGTTGAGGTGTCAGACCATTATGCTTTTCTTGCATTTCTCACTTTTAAAACATTATATTCTTCTTGGAATTTGCTCCAAAACCCTCTGTTACGGTGCTTGGTTGGGGTTTGATTTTAGAATTTGTATATAATGTTTGACTTATGTTTCCATTTCTCAAGACACACACACACTAAAGGGTTTTTACCTAAAAGAAATTCAATCCAGTTGCTCCATTAGAAGTGCAGGAGCACTTTTATAGGTTATACTGGGATATACCTTAGAAGACCAATGCACTTCACTACCACATAGCATGATCTATATATGGTGATTGTCTAAGTAATTGCTGTCCGATTTAGACTGATTACTGCCATATAGTTTTGTGAGATATGATACTTAAACATGAATATATTGTTTCATTCTGAAATTTAAGGGTACGTGAATCTGCTTGTAATGTGGAGGGAAATAACTGATGGACGTTTTTTTTTCTCTTGATAGTTTTTCTTTTTTTATCAATGAATAAATATTCATTGATAGTTGAAGCGATGTCTATTGTATTAAGTACTTGCAAATGAAGGCCAAATACCTGTATACATGGGTTTTGCATGGTTAATGAGATTAAAGCATCTAGAACATAAACATGCATGGTCCTCTATGCATCAAAGAAGAATAAACAATGATTTGTTCCAAGTTCCAAATTTTCTTTGATAATTATAAGAAAAGGTTCTCATTAAAAAGAAAACAAAGATTACAAGTTCATGGTGAAGAGCCTTAACCACCCAATGCATTCTTGTATGTTTTGTCAAGATTTTTCTAAGACTCCTTGTCACTTAGCCTCAAAAGTTCCAGTACCTCTTTCTTTTCATGCATCATATAGCACCACCGTGAAGCTTAACATAAGTTGTACACTGCATAGTTATCAAAGTTGATGATCTATGTTTCTACTATTGCTACAGTAGTCCGAACCAGTAAGGAGAAGAAGAAAGAGAAGGAGAAGAAGAAGAAGATGAAAAAACTGTCGAACCTGATAGCTAAACCCTATCAGTCGACCTCTTAATAGTGATTAGGCTCTAATTAAATGTACAAGGACTAAACTGCCCCTACTTAAGTATGGGATAGAGAACCTCTAATAAGACTGCCACATAAGCTCATAACTTAACCAAGGTGAGT